AGAAAGAAAGAAAGAAAGAAAGAAAGAAAGAAAGGGGGAAGTGAGAGGAGAAAACGATGAAGAAAGTAACAGAGAAGAAAAATGTTATAGTAAGAACTGTAGATGCTGGGAGTGAGAGATAACAAAGCGTGGAACTGGATGAACACTGCAGGCCAGGCAGCATCAGAGGAGCAGGAAAGCTGACGTTTCGGGTCGGGACCCTTCTTCAGAAAAAAAAATGAATTGTTATGTATTAACAGATTAGGATATTCCCAACACAGATGGGTATTTTTTGCAAGGATTTCATACTTTGCTGTCACCAAGATTTGCAACATATAAATCTTTGTCCACCAGCAGAACACATGTGGCAGTAGATCCATCTTTCCAGGCGGGTTTCCTGCAGAAAGAGAAGCCATATAAAAATTAGTTCATTGACCTGCATTTATGGTTGCTTTTATGTAGTACAGCATGTGCATGATTTTGCAGCTCTATAGAAAATCTGTCAAATGGACCAGCAAACTACATGCGACTAGCAAGGCATCAAACATCTTTGGGCACTGCCAAGAGGATGCAGGAAAAAAAAATAGAGATAGAGATAAAGAGAAAACACGCACAACATGACGGTTGTGACCGAGCAGGGAAGCAAGATTCATAGGAAGATAAGTAGCCTTGAAGAGGTCTCCTGTGGACATCAAAGAGGTCACAAGCCAATTGCTTCTCATTTGCTGGCTGCGGCATGTCACTGGGAGATCCAAAAGGGATCCAGAGCGGTGCCTGGATCTTAACCGATGCCTAAATCATCTTCTAGTCCTTGGTCCAGTTGACCACTGGCATGATGCCGGATACTTTTACCGCCCAAATCCCACGTAAACTAAGTTTTAACCACTGCATACCAGAGAAAAACAGGAAAACAACCTCTAGACTAAACAAAGACATGCAATCATAGTAAAATTATCTATACTACTGCCTCTCATCTTACAAACCTTGTGAGGCAACTCTTTCCTTTTTCCTTACATAGGTGCTGACTTCTGCTCCTCTGTGGCTACACTCCAGAATTTAATACGTTACTGCTTATGTGCTAACAAAGAAAACTGGGGATGGAGTTTTAATTATCTTGCCAGTAGAAAACTGGTTGAATGGGGTCCACCTCCTCCATCATCAACACTCATTAACAGCAGTATATACCATCTACAAGATGCATAGCAAAAATTCACCAAAGATCGCTCCTTCTGAACCCACGACCGCTTCCATCTAGAAGGGCAGCAAGTACTTGGGAGCACAACAGCTTTTAAGCTCCCCTCCAAAACACTCACCATGTTGACTTGGAAATACTTCGCCATTCCTACACTGTCATTGGGTCAAAATCCTGGAATGCCCTCCCTAGGCGCATTGTGGGTCTACCTACAGCACATGGACTGTGGCAGTTCAAGAAGGCAGCTCAATAGCACCATCTTGAGGCTAACTAGGGATGGGCAATAAATGCTGGCTAGCCAGTGACACCCATGGCCCATGAGTGAATTAAAATAAAACACAGAAATTGAACCTAGGATTCAGTGGATGAATGTAATAGAATCTGGCAACCAATTACATGGTTCTCGAATGTTCCCAATAAAACCCTGGTCCATGCTAAGAAAGAGGGATATTATAGTTGGTGTTAACTGTGCTTTTGGGGATGGGGATAAAAAGTAATTATCCCAATTTCCAAACACTACTACTCACTGGCTCGATGCCTGCTTGAGAAAGCCCTCATCCGTCTGCTTGAAGGTCATCAGAAGGCATTTCTTAATGGTCTTCTCTATGCTACTCACTTCTCCTGTATAGAGAGTAATTCGAAGAAAAACGTCATCATTCTATACAAAAACATCTCACTTGAACAGAAGGTTCAAAGTTCAGTCCTGCTCAGGGCCTTCAAGGTATCGACTGGAATAACAAAAACAAGGTTATGCAAGTCTTGGGCACATGAACCTCCAATTTGAAATCTCTTCATGGAAAGTCCATTCTGGAAACTTGGAGCAGACCAGAAATAGGTGATCATGTTGGACACTTAACCTGGAGTCTCACATCTTGTACTGATAGCAATGTTAGAATCCTACAGCGATGCCTGTGAGACCTTTAGACAAAAGAAGTCAAAATAATGAAACTTCGACAACTTTTTTTTCACCCTAACTATTGGAATTTTCTATGTCACAAAGGAGCTGCCTCATCAGTGACTGAGCATCTCATTTTAAGATAAAAATAAGTGAACATTGAACAGCAGTATGCCCCTCAACAGGAAAACAACCACCCAATGCTTGGCTATTCTGCTGCATGCTTTAATGTGCACAGTCAGCAAAAAACATATCAGCCACAGGTGTCAATAAGTTGTGCTGTAAAAACAGTACTCCTGGCTGATCAACAAACATCTTCCACTCTTACCTACCAAAGAACACCTTCAGGGGTAAACTCCACTCACATCTGATCAGGTTGTCATCTCCATGATGAAACCACACTCCCATATAGTCAGTCCTATAAGTGACTGGATACCAGCTCGCCTACTGAGCGTTGATTTTAGATGAAGTGTTGGAGTTTGTATTTTCCGTAACAGTGTTGTTACCTTTGGGGAAGTTCCTGGCAAGAGTGAGGTGAAGGTTCTGTGCAGCGTACTTGGATGCTCGTACTCCACCATGGCCATCAAAAACAGCAAAGTATGAGAGCCGAGAGCTAAACCAGAGGCAGAGAAAGAAAGAAAAAGAAGGAGTTTTGAGAGAAATGGCAGCTTCAGTATTCAGTAAATTGTTCTTAAGAAAACAGTTCAGTTCAATTTCATTCACAGAACATGAATAGCCTATCCTGGCTACCTTGAGCAAAGTGGCTTGGGAGACCTCTTCTGAGTCAACCTGGTTGGTATGGGACTGTATTCAAAATATGCTAAACCAGGTAAGAATAGCAGGTTTTCTATCCTAGAGGTCAGAAGAAAACTAAATTGCTTTACTTTAAAATGACAATGTGACAGCTTGATGATCACTCTTTCATAGCCAGATTTCTTTTCCTTTCTAAAGACATTAATTCAAATTCATTCATTGACATGGGGGGTTTATAAACCAGTGACATAACTGTTGCAACGCTGTACTCACTTAGCTTCAGGAACAGATGTTTCTATGTTAAGAAATCCACATACGTGTGACAGCTCTACAAACTACATTGCACAGAATTGATATTTAGGATTGCACAGCTCATGATGACAAGCGATTCAGGGTTTGGGGTGGGGGTGGCAAGTGTGGACTTAGGCTTGTGGTGATCCCAAAAGGGCAGGGAAACAGAAGATCTTGTCTTAAACTGCCCTCGTGCAGTGAAAAATGGAAGTAGCAGAGGTTAAGAACATCTCCCCAAGTCAGCAGAAGTAGTCTGTTGCACAGCAAGGCTCCTTCTAGTCTGTCTGTAAACTGTACTGTAAATCAATGCTCACTCTGTAAACATAAAAGTCGCTCTGCTTTCTGTCACTTCAACACTTACACTTCTGATGGTAGCTGTGTGAAATTCGATGTGAAATCATCTATTATAACGTGCGCATCCTGCATTTCCTCTCGTTCACCCTTTCTCTCTGCAACATAACCCTTTAAGGTGACAAATCCTGAAGGAAAACATCAATAGAAAAACTTTTAAAGCAGGTTTTGGAAGAATATCACAACTGTACAAAATCTGTACAATACCACTCTATTGTTTGATTTCCTCCCAACCCCCGCATCTCTCCTGAAAACACTAGTTAATGCTCGGGCATGGTGACATGATTTTAGGCAACAGATTATATAGGACCTTTAACAAGATTAAACGTTCCAAAGTTGCAAAGAAAATTTAACACCAACCTAGAAGCAAATCAAGACTGGTGATCTAAAGCTTAGGTGAAGAAATTACAGCACAGGAACAGGCCCTTTCGCCCTCCAAGTGTTCATCGACACGCTGCCCGTCACAACTAAAACCCCCTACCCTTCCAGGAACCATATCCATCTATTCCCATCCCTTTCATGTATTTGTCAAGATGCCGAGTAAAACTCACAATCGTATCTGCTTCCACTACCTTCCCCGGCAGCGAGTTCCAGGCACCCATTACCCTGTGTAAAAAAAAAAAAACTTGCCTCGTACATCACCTTTAAACCTTGCCCTTCACACCTTAAACCTATGCCCCCTAGTAACTGACTCTTCCACTCTGGGAAAATGCTTCTGACTGTCCACTCTGCCCATGCCCTTCATAATCTTGTAGACCTCTCTATCACGTCGCCCCTCAACCTCCCTCGTTCCAGTGAGAACAACAAGTTTCTCCAACCTCTCCTCATAGCTAATGCCCTCCATACCAGGCAACATCCTGGTAAGTCTCTTCTGTACCCTCTCCGAAGCCACCACATCCTTCTGGTAGTGCGGTGACCAGAATTGAACAGAATATTCCAAATGTGGCCCAAAACTAAGGTTCTATCAAGCTACAACATTACTTGCCAATAAGCATGCCAAATGCCTTGTTGACTACCATCTCCACCTGCGTTGCCACTTTCAGTGACTGGTGTACCTGTACACCCTGACCCTTCTACCTATCAGTACTCTTAAGGGTTCCACCATTTATTGTATATTTTCCATCTGGATTAGACCTTCCAAAATGCATTACCTCACATTTTTCCAGATTATACTCCATCTGCCATCTCAGTGCCCAAGTCACCAACCGATCTATATCCTGCTGTATCCTCGGACAGTCCTCATCGTTATCCGCAATTCCCCAACCTTTGTGTCATCGGCAAACTTACTAATCAAACCAGTTACGTTTTCCTGCAAATCATTCATATATATTACAAACAGCAAAGATCCCAACACTGGTCTCTGATAAACGCCACTAGTCACAGCCCTCCATTCAGAAATGCACCCTTCCACTGCTACCCTCTGTCTTCTATGATCAAGCCAGTTTTTTATCCATCCTGTAAGCTCACTTCTAACCCTGTGCGACTTTACCTTCTGTGAGGGACCTTGTCAAAGGCCTTACTGAAGTAGTTTTTATTCTTAGAAAGAATGGAAAACTAATCCTCAGATGAAGATGGGCAAGGGGACAATGGTCATTATGTGTAGCTGTCCTACGGCCATCGGTCAAATGTTTTCTGACAACTGATTAACACGGTGTAAGTTACCTTCCCCTAGAAATACGAGATACCTGTAAATGTTCAGGGGCAGAGACAGTTCTCATCTCACAGACCTTGTCGGTAGCAATTCTTACTGGGTGGTCCCCAGACAGCAGCTGTCATCGAGCAGTCCTTATCAGGCAGGTGGACCAGGAGGAAAGGAGAACGACCAAGGGAAAAGTTCCTGAACTCCTCAGCTAGAGAGCAGGATGCAGCCCTCACCACTTTAATGCAACCAAGACTTCCTGCATTAACAGCCTGCATGTCCTCTGGCATCAGTAAACCATACCCATTGTCAAGGATGTATACTTTATTAAGTTTACTAGCATATCATATCCAAACTGCTACTTCTTAAACTCAATAAATTGTCAGAACATTACTACAAATTGTCGACTGCCCTATATTAGGTAACTGTGATTGTGAACCCCCTAAAGTCAACACCAAGATAAGGATGGGAAAAGCCCTGAGGAGAACTAAAAACAAGGATGAGGAACGAATGGCCCAACTGTATACTTCTGCTTTTATTTCTTATGCTCTATTCTCATTTCCACCATCATTTGTAAACGCTAACAAAATATTTATTTCATGCTTTTGCTATTCCTTCATAGCTAAATGTTCATCCTCACCCTAAATGGGCTTATCCTTTTTCCTTAGTCCATTCGCAGGATGTGGGGATCGCTAGTGGGGCCAGCATTTATTGTGTGTCCATGGCTGCCCTTGAGAAGGTATAGCGACAGTGAAGGAACAGTGATATATTTTCAAAGTCAGGATGATGAGTGGCTTGGAGGAGAACTTGCCGGTGGTGGTGTTCCCATTTTATAGAAACATAGAAGATAGGAGCAGGAGGAGGCTATTCGTCCCTTCGAGCCTGCTCGCCATTCATCAAGATCATGACTGATTGTCCAACTCAACAGACAAATCCTGCTTTCTCCCCATAACCTTTGATCCCGTTCACCCCAAGTGCTAAACCTAGTCACCTCTTGAATACATTCAATGTTTTGGTTTCAACTACTTCCTGTGGTAATGAATTCCACAGGCTCACCACTCTTTGGGTGAAGAAATGTCTCCTTATCTCCGTCCTAAATCGTCTACCCCGAATCCTCATACTGTATCCCCTGGCTCTGGGCACACCCACCATCGGGAACATCCTCCCTTGCATCTACCCTGTCCAGTCCTGTTAAAATTTTAAGTCTCTATGAGATTTCCCCTCATTCGTCTGAACTCCAGCGAAAACAATGCCAACCCAGTCAATCTCTCCTCATACGTCAGACCTGCCATCCCCGGAATCTGCCTGGTAAACCTTCGCTGCACTCCCTCAAGAGCAAGAGCATCCTTCCTCAGAAAAAGGAGACCAAAATTGCACACAATATTCTAGGTGTGGCCTCACCAAGGCCCTGTATAACTTCAACAACACATCCCTGCTCCTGTGCTCAAAACCGCTCGCAATGAAGGCCAACATACCATTTACCTTCTTTACCTGCTGCACCTGTATGCTTACCTTCAGAGACTGGTGCACAAGGACACCCAGGTCCCGCTGCACACTCCCCTCTCCCAATTTACAGCCTTTCAGGTAGTAATCTGCCTTCTTGTTTTTCCCTTTGCTGTATTTGCCGTCCATGTCCTTCTGGTAGGAAGTGGTCACGGGTTTGGAAGGTGCTGTCTGAGGATCTTTGGTGAATTTCTGCAGTGCATCTTGTAGATAGTACACACTGCTGCTACCGAGCGTCGGTGGTGGAGGGAGTGGATGTGGTGCCAATCAAGCGAGCCGCTTTGTCCTGGATGGTGTCAGGCTTCTTGAGTGTTGTTGGAGCTGCACCCACCCAGGCAAGTGGGGAGTATTCCATCCTGACTTGTGCCTTGTGAATGATCGACGGTCTTTGGGAAGTCAGCAGGGAAGTTACTCACTGCAGTATTCCTAGTTTCTGACTTGCTCTTGTAGCCACTGTGTTTATATGGCAAGTCTGTTTGTGTTTCTGGTCAATGGTAACCCCCAGGATGTTGATAGTGGAGGATTCAGTGATTGTAACACCATGAATGTCAAGGGGTGGTGGTTAGATTCTTACGGATGATGGTCGTAGCCTGGCATTTGTGTGGCGCTAATGTTACTTACCACTCGTCAGCCTAAGCCTGGATATTGTCTAGATCTTGTCGGATTTCAACATGGACTGCTTCAGTAATGAGGTGTCACTAATGGTGCCAAACATTGTGCAATCATCAGCGAACATCCCCACTTCTGACCTTATGACGGAGGGAAGGTCATTGAAGCAGCTGAGAATGGTTGGACCGATGACATTATCCTGAGGAACTCCTGCAGAGATGACCTGGAGGTGAGATGACTGACCTCCAACAACCACAACCATCTTATGTGCCAGGTATGACACCAACCAGCAGAGAGTTTGCCCCTGATACCCATTGAATCTAGCTTTGCTCAGACTCCTTGATGACACACTTGGTCAAATGCAGCCTTGATATCAAGGGCTGTCAATCTCACCTCATCTTCTCACTAAGTACACTTTTTAAATGCATTTAAAAGCCACCATTACTTTTTATGCTACCTGCTGACATTATTTCATATTCTAATTTTAAAAAGCTCTCTTTTCAACTCCCTGTTGTGTATTATACATATATTCTTTAATGCACATGGTTTGCTTTTGAATAGGTAGCTCTTTAAAGTTTCAGTTTAGTTTTATTTGTCGATGGGGCTCTTTGCTTGAACTCATCCCCCATTATGGTTTGGAAATATATTTGATTTGCACGTTATTCTCCTCATATTTTAAGATTCTCTGTTGCAGATCTGTCAGCTATTTTGCTGCCCAGTTAAATCATTAATTCAGCTGAGATTCCAGTGAAGTTTGTCTTTTTCCTGAATGCTTCTTCATTTGACCTTTTTTGCTTTCAAGTTGAATGAAACTGCAATCTGCTCATTATTTCTCCAATTTCTCCTTGCTATTTATATACTTATCAGGATGACAATCTGTACTAGTATGCAAAGAGCTATAAATGGGAGCTAGGAAACAGGTGGAAAACAGCTGGGGAATTCGGAGTGTCAAGAACGTTTCAAAGATCTAGCTGTACAAGTCTTTTGACCAGTCGTTGGACCCTTTGGATAATTACTTTTGTTGACCAAGTCTCCACTAAGCAGTGTGTTCTGTACCTTAAACCTTCTCTCAATTTGCTGATTTGGCTCAAATACCTTTGCACAACTTCTTGTCCTCATGGTCTTTGGACCCATTCTGATCTGGCAATTTGCGTTTCTCCCCCTTCAGGTCATTCTTCGCTTCTGGAAGCTCTCCAAATAGATCAGGTACGTGAGGTGCTAGTGGGGTGAAGGAACAAGACAATAATTTACACGAGTGTGCAAAACAACAAAGTTATTACTACATCAACAAGATTTTATCCACACTTCAGCTTTCAACCTAGGTTTGTCAAATTAGTGTGCAATCACAGCCTTGGAATACTGTATAAGTGTAAAGTTTATTCAAGAGTACCTGAGTTAGCCTCACATTATACCTTCATTCATCAGCCAGTAATACAGGTGGACATACATCCACACCATCATTGTCCTGATGTCCATTCTTGCCTCCAATTCAGAAGGTTCAAGACCTGGACATACAAGCCAGGCTGACATTCAAGAACATTATGGAGGAAACAGATTTGTCATCCTTTGAATGTTTCAGGCGGATGTGACAGAGTCTACAGTATTGGATGTTTTCTAGGGAGTTTTCTTCAACATTCATCCCCTGACCAATATCAAAAACAGATCAACTGGTCCAACCACTGGATTGTTGTTTGTTCAAAATTACTATGCAAAAGGAAAAAGTTGCCACTCATAACAACCTAGAAATAGTGATTGTGTTTAAAAGCATCCAGTTGCACGTGAAATCAGACGTCATCTGAATGTCATATGAATGAGTGCATTCTCCACCACTGACAGTGCCAGCTATATTGGACAAAATGTGCTAACAGGCTGATATTACTGCAAAAGTCAACTGCAAAGGCGTTGATGAAAACTGTTTAAGTATGTTGGCTATTTCGGGCAATTTTTTTGCATCATGCTAATTCCTGCACAGTGCTCTATGAGGGAAAATGTTCACATTTATCCCAGGCGAGAACTCCAGAAGGATTAGCGCTGCAACACGTCTGCATGACAATTTTCTTTTGCTTTTATGTTGGCATTACCCTTGAGCAGTACAGGATTAGAAACTGCAAACCACATCAATCCACACTTCAGTGAAGAGCCAGCCGACTGAAATCACAGCAGCAAAAGTTATTACTGACCAGTGCTTTTAGCACTGGCTAGCTATAATCAACAGGGGCTATAACTGCTTTCTCTTTCTGAACTGAAAATTGTAGTCATTGCTGTTGCTGAACTTATCTAAATTACTACAGGGAAAATCATAAACTTAAATGTTGCAATACACTGAATTCATCACCTCAAATAGCTCCCATCACTATCAGCCCCGTGACAGATCTGTAAGCAACAGTACATCACTCCAGTGTTATATAGCTGAAAACTCTCTCCCCAGGGTCAATCTGGAGAAAGGAGATAAAAATATTTTATTGCATATACAGAATGCATAATGCTCGAATCACATACCGAGTCTCAGCTGGGAATACGGAGGGAATTCACATCCATGACTAACCCTGCTGAATACAGGAAGCAAACTGCGATCAGAATTTCTGCTTCGCTTGCGTCCTCACGATCCTGCTCTCCCAGGTACTATTATGACCATTCCTGAAAATAGGAGGGCTGGGCCTTTGGACAAATTTTCAGACAAGAAACCAAGGTATTCTGAGCAGGCACATGCTGACTGTGGGAAAGGATCCTGTTAGATGAAAACCTCCTACTTCCAAACCTAACATAATTCCAGCCAGAAACAGATATATTACAGAAACCGAAAAAACTGCAGATGCCGTAAATCAGGAACAAAAACAGAAGTTAACCCAAAACGTTAACTCCGATTTTTTTCTTCACAGATGCTGCCAGACCTGCTGAGCTTTTCCAGCAACTTCTGTTTTTGTTCCAGGTATATTATAATTCCAGGCAGTTGAGAGTAAACAGGCGATGAGTGTTTTATTTTTCCTATCATTTGGTCTTTAACTGCTATAACGGCAGATTGATTATGGTGTTGCTGCAATCCTAAATTGTGGAAAAATCATTCCGGAAACACCAGTCTCTATTCCACCATGGCCGTTTGAGAATCTTCGTTCAGTTGAAGAAAAACTGCTGAAGCGATGATGAAACTGCTGGATCGACATAAAACTGCAACTGGTTCACTGGCGCTCTTTAGGGAAGGAAAACTATTGTACCTGACACGGTCTAGCCTGTGACTCCTGTCCCACAGGAATGCAGGTGACTCCTGACTGCCTTGTCAAATAGTTTATCAAACCATTTCAATAGTCATTCTAATAAAAGACATGCCACCAACTTCTCAAGGAGTACCTAGGGATGAAGAAGAAACACCAGTCTCACCTGCGACCTCAGTTTCCTGAAAACATTTCTAAATCTAGTACTTCACTGGTGTTCAGAGTTGCCATGGATTTTGAGGTGGATGAGGAAACAAGGAAAATGTTTAAAATGCCAGTGTCAGCTGTGATCCACCTCGCCTTCCAAAATTGGCAAAAATCAGTTGGTGTTGCGTTTTAAAACTGACCTTCAGAGGAAGGTTTGCAGAAGTTTAGAGGAAGTGGAGTAAGTAACTGCAGACAGCATTACTATTACTAATCCCAACAATAAACAGACAACAATAAAGAGCATGTTCCCACCAATGACACAAAACAGGAACAGATCAGCAAAAGCGATCGGAGTTTTTATTCTCTGGCTGTGTTTACCTACGTCTGGGTTGCTTAGGTCTGGTAGGTTATCAAACAGCGAAGGTTTTGACTTCTGAGCATCTCCTCCTAAATGAACAAAACAAATAGATTCATGAGAGTTTTCTCAAATATTTCTTCTATATCAATTTACTGTTTCCTTGCTTGGGATGTGCAGAATAAACCTTGTGAGTGCTCCCACTGCTGTTGCCAGGTCACTAGATATAGCTGAGGCTGATGGCTTTCCTGCCAGTAATTTCCCTGACCACATGAAGCAAAGTAAAGGGACAACCCAAAAAACCACCTCCACTGACATAGGGACTGAATGCACAGATCGCACCACACTCAAACCAAATGAGCTAATCTGGCCCTCCTCTTGATCTACCAAAGCAAAACACCGCAAATGCTGGGAATTTAGAGAAAGAAAAATGGATAAAACGAGAAGTACTCAGCAGATGTAACAGCACCTGTGCACAAAGAAAGAGTTAAAACTTCAGGTCTGTGAAATTTCATCAGAACTGAGAAAAATTCGAAAATTTTGAGCATGTTAAAAGTGGGAAGATGCGAAGAGAACAAAAGGGAGATGGGCAAGACTGATTAATAACAATAAAATAAAACAAAGAGATGGGGTTACAGATACAACATTTATAAATCATTTGGATAAGTACATGAATAAGAATTGTTTAGAGGGATATGGACCAAATGCAGGTAGGTGGGACTAGTTTAGTTTGGGAACATGGTCAATGTGGACTGGTTGGACTGAAGGATCTGCTTTTGTGTTGTAAGACTCTGTGGCTTTAACTGCAGATGCTGGATATCTGAAACAAAACCAAAAGGGAGAAACTCAGCAGGTCTGGCAGCATCTGTGGGGAGAAAAGCAGAGTTAACATCGAGTCCAGTGACCCTTCATCAGAACTAGAGCTCTGACAAAGGGTCACTGGACTCAAAACTGTTCTTCACTCCACAGATACTGCCAGACTTGCCGAGTTTCTCCAACATTTCCTGATTAATATCAAAGTGGTTTGTGGTAAAAGACCAGAAGGGAATGGGGCAAGTAAAGAAATAAAAATATGCCTGGATGAGAAATAAATCGTAAGATAGAAGCTGAAGAAATGAATTAAAAAAGAAACAAAGAGGAGAAAAGAACTAGCCAAAAAAAAAAGGGGGGCAAAACAGAGGTTATGCTGTAAAATCAGTGAATTCAATGCGGAGTCCATTTCAATCTATTTCCCAGGTGGAAGCCGCAAAGTTGCCCCCTGACTCCAACCCAATTCCAATTCCTGCCGTGAATGCCTATCAGACCTAGCTCTGACTCTCACAGACCCCAAATGCCAACTAGGAGCCCAAATTCAAGCACAACTCCCATTCATAGCCCAATCCACAACAAGCGACAGTCTAAACTCCAAGTCTGACTGGCAGTTCACGTGTCAAAATAAACTTACAAAAATAAGCCTGTCATTTTCAGTGTGGAAGAACACACACCACCAGCTGATAGAAAATGCACACAATTCTCTCCCAAAATTTCATGGTTGACTGTAAATTCACAGATTCAAGTGTGTGAGCTGCCAGCTGCAGCTGGATCAGGTTTACAACCAACTTGTGTCAAATTGAACTGCATTACATTTTTATTATGACTTCTATGGTCTGGTTTATAAAAGAAGGCTTTATAAAATCTTCCATGGGTCATTTTGATTACGCTTTGAGGTACTCTGTAGCTGGATGAATGGTATGTTCACAATTTCAGTCGCTAGGTGCCAGATTAACTGAAATTATCATTACATCAGCACTGTGATTGGGAAGCACTGAACAAAAACAACTATAGTAAATTAGGAACACTCGCCATCTTGATTGGCTGCCATCAAAAACAACCAATTATTAAGTTCTTCAGCAGAAAAGTAAAATTACCCAGGAATTGGGAGGAGAAATTAAACTGCTCCAATGCTGTGCTGAAAGTCCCACTTAGAATACTAACTCGCTTCTGCTTCCAACACAAACCAAGCTCCTGCACATTTCAAGCATTTTCTGTTATTCCAGATTTAAAGCTTTCACTTTCAATCCAACTTTGCACATTTCAAGTAGAAGGCAGCAACACTACCAGCAAATAGGGACACAATCTCTGTCACGCTGAGTTGCACACCAGTGTGGCAAATATATTGGCCCAAATTTTGGAGAACCAACAGCAACAAAATATATATTTACTGTTACATAGCGCTGGAACAGTGCCATAACATCTGCCGACTGCAGCTGGTCCAAAAACTGGAGTTGGTGGTGCACTTCAACAAGCTCTGGAAGAGTGTATAGTGATGGCCCTGTTGGGTTGTTTAGAAAAAGGGTAGGGGCCAGCACTGTCTCAATATGGGCTAATTATCTACAACGTAGGTTTTTACACACCTTGCGTCAGAGCCGAGACAGCTGGGCTGCATCTATGACAATACTTCCAGCACAACAGCATCTCACCTCAGCTGCTGATATGAAAAGGAGCTCAAACCTGGATTGTTCCCGACAGAAGCAGGATTGGGAAAGAGGACTCATACCAATACTGTATGGTGACATCCATAACCAAAGCATATTTTCCAGGGTAAACCTCCAATGCTGGAATTGGGTGGGAGCCAGGGGGCAACTTTGCAGCTGCCACCTGGGAAATAGATCGAAATGGACTCAGCATTGAATTCACTGATTTTAGAGCATAACCTCTGTCCCCTCCTTTTTTTTGGATAGTTCTTTTCTCCTCTCGTTTCTTTTTTAGTTCGTTACTTCAGCTTCTATTTTATGATTTATTCCTCATCCAGCCATATTTTTATTTCTTTACTTGCCCCATTCCCTTCTGGTCTTTTACCACAAACCATTTTGATATTAATCAGGAAGTGCTGGAGAAACTCGGCAAGTCTGGCAGTACGGCGACCCCCAAAGCCACGGCATAATTTCCAGGGTAAACCTCTCATGCTGTGTTACAAGTCTGTCAGATCCTAATAACTTGTAAAGATTATAATACACGTGGCACCTCTGATGCTTCTACTTATTTCCCTAAGCATGAATTCTCTGGTTACCAATCTTCTTGACCAAAAACCATTTATCTTTATCTACTTTGTCCAAACCTTTTACAATTTTGAACACCACAATCAATACTTCCTATAACCTACTCTGCTCAAAGGAAACAACACCAACTTCACTCAATGCTATTCCTTGAGGTACTGTTCTGGTAAATCTGTTCCAAACCCTGTTCAAGGTCTTGGCACCTTCCTAAAATGCACCATTCAGATATAGACACAATATTCTGTCAGGGAATAAACCAGTATTTCTAAATCATAATATTTAACAATAACTTCCTTCCTTTCGTACTCTCCATTGATATCAAAGAATTGTATGTGTTCTTTTCTCAAAAAAGAAATTACCTTTTTGTAAAAACCTATTTGCTTCAAGGATTTAGGCAGCATGCATCCCAAGTCTCTCCCATCCTACACCCCCCTTTAAAACTGTACTATTTATGTGGCCTCTGTTCTTTCCTCTGACAAGATGAATCATTTCACACTTATCTCCGCATTAAATTTAATCTGCCGTGTGTTTGCCCCATCTGCCTGGTCCTGCTGAAATCTGTTACTATGCTTCTCGATGTTTACCACACTTGTGGATGCTGTTTCACGCACAGTCTCTGAAACATTGCCCTTGGCCATTTCAAGGAAGGAAACAGGTTTTCTGAAGAAGGGTCTAGGCCCAAAACGTCAGCTTTCCTGCTCCTCTGATGCTGCTTGGTCCCTGCTGTGTTCATCCAGCTCTACACCTTGTTATCTCAGATTCTCCAGCATCTGCAGTTCCTACTATCTCTACACCTTGTTATCTCAGGTTTGTAACAACAATCAGACAGAGCAATCCCCAATCCTCTGCCAGCACGAAATGATCTGCAACCTCACCCCCGCAACCCCTCCCAGGGGGCCAGCCCCGAGAGACCCTTCCCCATCCCCAGGGGGCAAGCCCTGAGAACATACAACATAGAACATTACAGCGCAGTACAGGCCCTTCGGCCCTCGATGTTGCGCCGACCTGTGAAACCAATCTGAAGCCTATCTAACCTACACTATTCCATTATCATCCATATGTTTACCCAATGACCATTTAAATGCCCTTAAAGTTGGCGAGTCTACTACTTTTGCAGGCAGGGCATTCCACGCCCTTACTACTCTCTGAGTAAAGAACCTACCTCTAACATCTGTCCTATATCTATCACCCTTCAAGTTAAAGCTATGTCCCCTCGTGCTAGCCATCACCATCTGAGGAAAAAAGCTCCCACTGTCCACCCTATCTAATCTTCTGATCATCTTGTATGTCTCTATTAAGTCACCTCTTAACCTTCTTCTCTCTAACGAAAACAGCCTCAAGTCCCTCAGCCTTTCCTCATAAGACCTTCCCTCCATACCAGGCAACATCCTGGTAAATCTCCTCTGCACCCTTTCCAATGCTTCCACATCCTTCCTATAATGCGGTGACCAGAACTGTATGCAATACTCCATGTGCGGCCGCACCAGAGTTTTGTACAGCTGCAACATGACCTCATGGCTCCGAAACTCAATCCCACTACCAATAAAACCTAACATACTGTATGCCTTCTTAACAACCCTATCAACCTGGGTGGCAACTTTCAGGGATCTATGCACATGGACACCGAGATCTCTCTGCTCACCCACACTACCAAGAATCTTACCATTAGCCCAGTACTCTGTATTCCTGTTACTCCTTCCAAAGTGAATCACCTCACACTTTTCCGCATTAAACTCCATTTGCCACCTCTCAGCCCAGCTCTGCAGCTTATCTATGTCCCTCTGTAACCTGCAACATCCTTCCGCACTATCCACAACTCCACCAACTTTGGTGTCATCCGCAAATTTACTAACCCATCCTTCTACGCCCTCATCCAGGTCATTTATAAAAATGACAAACAGCAGTGGCCCCAAAACAGATCTTTGTGGTACACCACTAGTAACTGAACTCCAGGATGAACATTTCCCATCAACCACCACCCTCTGTCTTCTTACAGCTAGCCAATTTCTGATCCAAGAGAGACCCTTCCCCACCCCCAGGGGGCCAGCCCTGAGAGACGCGCCTCCAACCCCACGCTCTGGGAGCCAGTCCTGAGACACCACCCCACCCCCAGGGGGCCAGCACCAGGAGACATCACCCCCCCCCCCCCCAGGGGGCCAGCACCACGAGACCCCCCCCCCCCCAGGGGGCCAGCACTGTGGCACCCCCACCCCCCACTTCCCGCTCAGCGCCCACTGACCCAGGCCCAGGTTTCAAACCCCTGCCCCGCCGCTCCTTTCCTGTCCTTACCGGGCTCAGGCAGGTCTTCAAACAAATCCATCTCTCCTATTTTCCTTTCCCCCGCAGCCCCTTTCCTCCGCCTGACTCCGCACCGACCCCCAACCCGCCCTCCCGCTGCTCCTCCTCCGACCACCAAACAAACTCCCAGGCCCAGGCTCCAACCGCGGCCTAAAAACGCCGCCAGGCTCCCGCCGGGTCCTAGTGCCCGCCCAACACCACACCGCCATCTCACGCATCCTCTGGGTCCTAGTGCACGGTCACCCTGTTGCTGGCGAAATTCTCTCATTCCATCTTATTTTGTCACCTTAGGGGTACTGATTTGACCTGAGGGTCACCATACCCCAGGCAAGGAAGAGAGAAAGTCCTTCAGGATAACCACAGCCAGTAGCAGGAATTGAACCCATACTTACTGTTATAATGCTTTACAAATCAGCTAGCCAACCAACTGAGCTAACTGGCAATATATGATCATACACAGCCAGGATATTTACATACATATAGTATGTTTAAATACCAAATGTATTTTGTTAGACTTTGTCTTTCCCTCCTCTCACAACTTTTTAAAACAATTCGGTTCAATTCATTAGTACACTGGCAGATTATAGAAACATAGGAACAGGAGTCAGCTATTCAGCCTTTCGAACCTGCTCCACCATTCAGCAAGATCAGGGCCGACCTGTGGCCTAACTCCGTATTGGCTGCCTTGGGCCCATATCAGTTGATACTCCTGCTTAATGAAAACTTGTCTATCCCAGATTTAGATTGAACAATTGAATTAGCTTTGTCTGCTCTTTGAGGAAGAGTTCCACTATTCTATTACTCTTTGTGTGTGGAAGTGCTTTCTAACATCAATCCTGAATGGCCTGGCTCTAATTTTAGACTATGCCACTGGTTCAAAAACCTTCAACCAGTGAAAAGAGTTTATCTTTATCTATACTGTCTTTCCCTGTTAATATCCCGAAGACATTGATTAGATCACGCCTTAACTTTCCAAATTCTAGAGGATAAAGTATAAACTTAACTCCTGAAGTCCAGGTGTCATTGTTACAAACCTGCTTTGAACTCCCTTCAGGGCTAAAACATTCTTCCTAAGAAGATCTGCCCACAGTGCTCTAAATGACATCTGACTGGGATGTGTTGTAGCAGCGGTAGAACATCTTCATCCCTATACTCCAGCCATTTAGATATGAAGGACAGCATTCTATTCGTCTCCTTGACTATTTTCTGCATCCATTTCTGGCATTTTAAAGAGCTATGCACCTGAACCCCCAAATCTCATTGGACATTCACTGTATTTAACTTTGTGCCTTCTAAAAAAATACACTGATCTATCCTTTATTATTTTCAAAACGGATAACGTCACGCTTGCCTATATTAAAATCCATCTGCCACAGCTTTACACCTAATCTAATAACATCCTGTTGTAATTTTATGCTGGCGTCAACACTGTCTACAATGCTGCCTAATTATTTAAGGTCAGCAAATTAGGATATTTGACTTTTTAGCAACAATTTCCAAGTCATGAATGAATATTGTGAATATTCGAGCTCCTAACACATCCCTTCGGGACACCACTGGTTGCATCCTGCCAATTTGAGTACTTACCCATTATTCCAAATTTTTTATTCTGCCAATTTCCTATCCGTGTTAGTAATTTGCCCTCAGTTCTGTGGGCTTCCATCTTAGCTAACAGCCTCTTGTGTGGGACTTTATTAAAAGCCTTCTGGAAGTCCATATAAGCAACATCCATTGATTTACTTTCGAAGAACTATGAAGTTCGTCATACATGACCTATGCATCTTGAATCTATGCTGACTCTCCCTGACCAACAGAAATTTTTTAAAATGATCAGTTATCCTGTCCTTCGTTATAAACTTCCCACCACAGATGTTAGGCTACCTGGTCTGTAATTCCCTGGTTTCCCTCTGTCACCCTTCTTAACAAGCAGAGTGACATGAGAAATTTCCAATCCATAGGTACATCTCCTGAATCCAGGAAACTCTGAAAGGTTATGGTTCGAGCATCTGTGATGTGTTCTCCTACCTCATTTAACATCATGGATGGAAATCTTCAGGTCCTTTGGGTTTGTCACTCTTCAGTTCCATTAATTTCCCCATTATTGATGATTTACTTAAGATAATTTTATTTAAACCCTGTCCCTGATCCTTTATTAATTTCTTTGGGACTTTTAGCAAGCTATCCTCCTTTTCTGCTGTGAATACTGAAGCAAAGTAATTGTTCAGCATGTTTGCCATTCCCTGATTGTCATTAACAATATCTCCAACCTCAGCCTTCAGTAGACCAATAGTACTCTTAACAAGCCACCTTCCCTTTATATAACTATAAAATCGCTTCTTATTATAGAGTCATAGAGTCATACAGCATGGAAACAGACCTTTCGGTCCAACAAGTCAGTGCCAACCATAATCCCACACTAAACTAGTCCCACCTGCCTGCACTTGGCCCATATTCCTCCAAACATTTCTTATTCATGTACTCATCCAAATGTCTTTTAAACGTTATAACTGTACCCGCATCTGTCAGTGTTTTCAATTCCATGTTCCGATCTACTTCCGATAAGTTTGATTCCCTTGCTTTTAAAATCTGTTTACTTCAGCCTCAAAATATTCAAGGCCCTGCCTTCACCATCTTCTGAGGCAGTGGTTCAAAGCTGGCATTTAATATGGCTGACCCTCTGAGCTGCTTAAGGGATTTAAATCCTGCAGGTAAATGCTATTTCTCATCCCTAACAAGCAAACTCATAGGAAGACACACTAGTACCTAGACCTCACCCTCAGAGTTAGTTAAGCCAACTTCAGAAGGAAGCAATGTTCATTTGGCTGGAAAACTAAAACATGCTTACAGTCTTCTTTCACTTCCATTCCATTTCTGACTGTAGCACTCCAGAAATGGCAGCTTCCTCAACACCACAGTCAAATCATGATATCATGACATTTATAGTTTTCCACCACCATATTGAATGGCAATTGAATCTCTGACACTTTATTGTAAATCATTGTGCTAGCCAAATATATCAGCATCCTCAACATCCCCAACCATTTGCTTCCATTGTAATTCATGTTTCCCTCTATGATCTGAACTCTTGAAAGTGCAGCCTCAATAAATTCACTAGTCATAAGGCCCTTTGCATCAAACCAAGCTAACAGCACTGCAAATGAACCTGTCAGATGAGATATATTAATGGTCCTGAGATCTGCTTCACTTCACGCTGCACTTCCAAACCATTTCCGCAGTCTAATGATACACTATAAAACAGTAACAAGGAAGGTCAGTTCCTCTAGAGGTATTGCAGAGCTCCCAAAGTCCTGTATAAGAAATCCACTGACAAAATCCCCATACACTGCATTAAGGGGAGTAGAGAAACATACAAGGAAAGCAATTAATATTTGTAGATAACAGAAACTAGGGATGCTAGTTAATTGTGGAAATTATTCTGAATAACTTCAGAGAATACAGATAGGCTGGGCTGATGTATGCCAAATGAAATTTGTTAGAGATTGTCTTTTATCTTCCTTGCAAGTATCCTTCCATAACCCTTTTCAGCCGCTCTTATAAGCCACTTTCGTTGGTCTTTGTATTTGTTCCATGCTGTGGGATTAGTACTATTCTTTGCATTTTTATAAGCCCTCTCTTTTAATTTTATGCTGTCCCTTAACTCCTAAGATGCCCAGGGCTGTTATTTTTGTGAGGCAGAGTTGTTCCTTCTCATGGGTGCAAACTTCTTCTGCACAGCTTTAAATGTTTCTTTCAACACCCTCCAGTGTTCTTCAGGTATTTTGCCTGTCAGCAGAGCTCCCCAGTTTACGGTGGGCAATCTCTGCCTAATCCCATTAACATCTGCCTGACTTAAATCCAAAATCTTAGTATCCGATCTTTGCTTGTCGATTACAAACGCTACCTGAAACTCAATCATGTTATGATCACTATTTGACAAATGCTCATGAACAAGTAGGTCACTAATTAAATCAGGCTCATTGCCCTTTACTGGATCCAATATTGCTTGTCCCCTTGTTGTATCCAAGATGTATTGTTGAAGGAAACAATTCTGGACACCTTAGAAATTCACAACCTTTCTCATAGGTGCTTTTTTGTCTCTCACAGTCTATGGTAAGATTAAAATCCCCCATTAATACTACTGTGCCTTTGTTACATAGTTGCCTAATTTTAGCATTAATACAATGTAGCACTTCTGAGCTGCTACCAGGTGATCTATTTATGAAACCCATTATGGTTTTAGTTCATTTACGGTTCCTCAGCTCCATCCATAATGTCTCCACTGGGTAATATGTCCTCATTACATCCTTCCTCACCATAGAAGACCGTAAGACCATAAGACATAGGAGCAGAATTAGCCCATTCAGCCCTTCGACTCTGCTCCACCATTCAATCATGGCCGATATGTTTCTCAAACCCATTCTCTTACCTTCTCCCCATAACCATTGATCTCCTTACCAATCAAGAACCTATCCACCTCTGCCTTAAAGACATGTGATGACTTGGCCTCTGCAGCTCACTGCGGTGATGAGTTCCACAGATTCACCACCTTCTGGCTTAAAAATTCTTCCTCATCTCAGTCCTAAGGGATCATCCCTTCACTCTGAGGTCTGCCTTGGGTCCTAGTTGCTCTTACTAGTGGAAATGTCTTCTCCACATCCAATATATCCAGGCCTCTTAGTATTCTGTCAGATTCAATGGATCACTCCCATATCCTTCTAAATGCCATTGTGTACAAACCCAGAATTCTCAAGCACTCCTAATATGATAAGCCCTTCGTCCCTGGAATCATTCTTGTAAACCTCTTCTGGATCCCCTCCAGTGGTAGCACATCCTTTCTTAGAGATGGGGTCCAAAATCATTTACAATATTCCAAATATGTTCTGACCAGAGCCCTATACAGCCTCAGTAGTATATTTCTGCTCTTGTATTCTAGCCCTCTTGAAATGAATACTAACATTGCATTTGCTTTCCTACCTGCCAGCTGAACCTGAATGTTAACCTTAAAAGAATCCTGAACCAGGACACCCAAGACCCTTTACACTTCAGATTTCTGAAGCCTTTCCCCTTTTAACA